GGAGTCTCACTCTCGCCCAGGCTGGAGTGCAGTGGCGGGATCTCGGTTCACTGCAAGCTCCGCCTCCCGGGTTCCTGCCATTCTCCTGCCTCAGCCTCCCGAGTAGCTGGGATTACAGGCACCTGCCACCATGCCCGGCTAATTTTTTTGTATTTTTAGTAGAGATGGGTTTTCACAATGTTAACCAGAATGGTCTCAATCTGCTGACCTCGTGATCCGCCCACCTGGGCCTCCCAAAGTGCTGGGATTATAGGCATGAGCCACCGTGCCTGACCTGGAGGTTCTTTATTAATAGAGTCTCAGTGTGAGTCTCTGGTTAGAGTGCCTTCCAATCTAAATAGATTTTGTGAGCCTCCTTTCTTTGCTTACAACAGCAGCTTGCCTGGCGTCAGTTATGGACCATTCTTTCTCTCAGCCTCGTTTCAGGGTCCTCTGCCTCTTAAAGCTGCTGCTGTAGCTTGGCTAGAGACCCGCTGCTGTTGCATCATGGAAAAGTGTCATATACGTGCATATGTGAAAGAATAAGCAGAGCTTCATGTTGTGATTTAGTTTTTGAAAAAGTCAGAAGTACCTTCACTTGATTTAAGCTTGTAAAGACATAGGAGGGAGGCAACTGAGAATCACCGTGGCAAAAAGCAAACATCAAAAATCACGTTAACATGTTGAAGTGTTGTGGAGCACAAACCTAGCTTTATGGGATCAAGTATTCGTGAGAGTTTTTCTATTTGCTTTGTTATGCTTTCTATCAGACAGGCCTCATTCTCTGTTTTTTTTTTTAAACACACTCATTTTTTTCTTTGGTCTGTTTGGATCATTATCACATCTTATGTTTTAAAACTAGCAAAATATGTGTAAGTCATGAAGACAGTGTAAGAAATAACAAAATGAACACTGATGTACACATTACCTGCCTAAGAATCAAAAACTACCCATATTTTTAGAGTCCTTAACACTGTCCTGTTAATTAGTCCCATTTCTTATCTTTATAATTTTGCCAAAATAAATGCATTAGTAAAGGACAGTGAACATTATTGTTTTACATATTTTTCAGTTTCAACAAATGGAATCACATTGAATATATTTTTCTGAAATTGCTTTTTGGTTCAATATTAAATTTGTAACATACATTCTTATGATATGTTCATCTGTGCTTTCTGTGCATTGATTTAGAGTATTCCATCACAGGATAATACTATAATGAGCATTTCATTTTATTAGATTGAGGTTATTATCCATTTTTTTTCTATTACAAAAAGTAGGCGTCCTTTTCTTGTATGAGTCCCCTGGACATAAGAGTAAGATTTTCTCTAAGGTATAAACCCAACATTCAAATCATTGTATCAAAAGATTTGTACACTGTCAATTTTACTAAGTTAAAATGAACTGTTTTCCAATTTACGCTCCCATGAGAAGTTAAAGGTTCTTGTAGATCTATATTCTCAATAATACTTAATATTTGCCTGGAACTGACACACTTTTTAATGTTAGTCAATTTGGTTTCTCATTGGAATTCTAATCTGCATATTTTAGAAATACTGAATCAAGAAAAGAATCAAGTAATGAAAAACTATTAATTTAGTAAATAAAAATGCTATAAAGACAATAAAGCAAGTAAACGTAGTCAAAAGCGGAGACGGGCTACTTCATTCTGATAGTCAAAGATGGCCTTGCTGGTCATCTGAGTTGAGAGGTGGCTGGTAAGATGAGATGTTAAGTAGCTGTGGAAGGGGCCTGCTGGCACAGGGCATGCTCTAAGGCCCTGAAAACAAGCAAACATTCTTTCCCTGTAAATACCTGAACTAAGTAAAAACAGTCCTGGCTTTGCACATTTTAATATGCATAAGTTTAATTAACATAGTTTAGTTAAATAGCACGAGTCTCTCAACAACATGGTTACAATTTCAGTTACCACAAAATGCTAACTGTGAGCAACTGCATAAAACACAAACTTTGGTCCTAGCTCTTAATTCCACAGATTCCCATGTAAGTAAATAACAGACAAGCATCATGATCAGTGACTGTATTAATCTTCTGGGGATGCTGCAACAAAGCACGAAAAACCCCGTCGCTTAAAACAACAGAAATGTATTGGCTCATAGTTCTGGAGGCTGGAAGTCAAAACTCAATGTGTTGGCAGGTTCATGCTCTCTGCTAGCTCTAGGGGAGAATCCTTCTTCCACTCTCCTTCCTGTTTGGGTTTGCCAGTCATCCTTGTTTTCTGATCTACAGATAGGTCACTCCGTTTTCTCTGTGTGTCTTCACATCATCTTTTTTCTGTGTGTGTCTGGAGCTGTATCCAAATTCTCCTTTACTGTAAGACACCAGTTAGTCTGTTGGATTAGGGCCCACCCTAATGACCTCATTTTAACTTGAGAACCTCTGTAAATATGCTGTTTCCAAATAAGCTCATATTGTTTTGAGATATTGGGCATTAGGATTTCAAACATATCTTTTTTGGGGAGACACAATTCACTTCTTTCAAAGCCTGTCGGTGACTGATCACTGCGCATCTGCTAGTTTGCACACAGCCAGCAAAGTCTGCAATCATCTGCAGCAAAGACAAGATTCCTTGTCTCCCAGTGAGAAATCCATGTGACATTTATAAATATGAATAATCAGAAGAAAAAATTGGTCAACAACCATTGATGTGCAGCAAAAAAATAAAAAATGTGATAACACTGGAAGTGGAATTCAAATACAATGTAAATGGAATAATAAAATTGGCTCACCACAGGAAATACAGAAGGGGAACTTGGCACAACGCAGTGTTTTGACATAAATGAGGAACGTAATTGTGATGAAAAGGATGAAGAAGCCCCAGAGGAAGTGACGCTAGCAAAGACAGCCACAAACTTCATATTAAAGGAAGTCTTGTAGATATTTCATGACACTGACAATGTTAGATGCTGTTCCGAAAACAGTAGGAAAGTTGGAAGTTACAGTGGAGCCAAGATCATCGCCACGCACTCCAGCCTGGGTGACAGGAGCAAGACTCCAGCTCAAAAG